AATCTATTTTAATGAACTGCGACACAGAGATCCATATGGTTTTTAGAGCTACAGAAACTGAGTCACTACGTATATGTAGCTTATAAATTCAAATAACATTTGTTCTCAACAGCTAAAGCCAGCGTAGTATCAATGAGGCAGTGCCACCAATTGCAGCAAACTTAGGCGCTTCCTGATGACATTCATTTTTGCATTAATTCTAATAATTGAACCTCTTCAATTTTGGTGAAGAGGTCTCTCGAAAACTCCCATTTTTAGTGCGATTCAGCGTCAAAAAACGGAGTTGAAGAAATAAGCTATACTTTATGCAACCAAAATCTTTCCAAGCTTTCACAAAAAATGTTAAAGATCTTGTAGAAGAAGGAGAAGTTTTACTGAGATATAAAAAGAGAGTTACGTGCAGCTTTGCCGCTTTTCTTTTCCAATGTGTTTTGGAAAAATGAGGAAAATTCTCACCAATGACTTCCACGCCGAATCCGTGGATGATGATGTGCTCGATGCATGGCTAAAGTTGATGTAGCGAGGTTTTAATTTCCACAGCAACTTCTGCGATGAGTATTTCCAGCCGTCCGAGTGACTAAATTATGCGCTCAAACTGTGACTTAATTGAGATATTATGTTGCGGTGTACCTGCTAGCGCTTAACGGTACTGATGGCGATACGGGCGCCGTCATCGCCTGCGGTAAGGCATCATCTAAAAGATCGTGTGAATCGTCGAAACCGGATGATTCGCGTGAGTCACGGATTCGACCCTAAAATGAAAGAATAAGAATGTGCATATGCAAAGCTGAACATTTGTTTTCGTGACAGACGAATGAGGTCAATTAATTCACAACATTTGCTACTTGGAATCTCATTAGCTAACATTCTGATTTTAGAAAAATGACACTTAGTAATCAAAAGGAGGCCGAATGTTCTAAATTCAAACCTGATTATTCGGCATCGCACCATAAAATAGATATGATATTTTTACATAACATGCGCGAAACGACAATGTTTTTTAAACTTAGAGAATATTGAGGTTTGCTGAAATTACATTTTCTACCACATCAGACTGTAGGACAGCATGGTTGAGGGTGGTTGATCAAACTTAGCGTAAGAAACAGAACGGATTATATTGCCAGTATGCGAATACAGAACAATTGTAAAGGACATGTATTTTGAAAGACAGAAAAGGGGAAATGGGGGTTGTCTTTAAACTGATAGACTGTTTCACGACTCAGTTATTAGCATGAGAGTTGTCAAATTGACAAATTAAGAATACAGCAAGGTTATAATAATTATCCGAGGATTTGAGCGG